ATTAATAAAAGACATCATGTTCTGATAATTAAAAGGCTTATAAACATTATTCTGATTCCTATGAAACTGAGTCCTGAAAGCACAGATTAATAACAAATGGCATCTAGTAAATCTCTAGTAAACTTTCTTATCATAAAAACAAGCTTATGCTCTTTTATTAAAGCCACACGAAAAACAGTTTTGGGCGTTTTTGTTTGTCTGTTTGTTTTGTTTTGTTTTATTTTGTTTTTTAACTACAGTAAAATTACTTGCAAAGAAATGTGAAAGATAACTGGGGGTGACAGTAATAAAAATTCATTTTGAAACTGAAAAATTCTTATGTAATGTCTGTGCTCAAAGGTCAGCGTCTTTCGACATTCTCATACAAGTCCAACCTGGATAGAAATCAACTCAAATATAATTTAGAAAAATAACAGGATATCAAACAATGTGTTAAACCCTGTGAAATACAGGCATACTTTACAAAAACAAGAAATGAATATTAAAGGAAATGTCAATGACATTGTTTCTGTTATATTTTGAATTGAATCCCAAGCGTGCTCTCATTCCTCAATACGAATTAAAAATAAACAACTTTAACAGCATCAATGCCATCTGGATTACAATGGAAATCATGAAGTATACGAGCTTAACTTGGGTAAAAATAAAACCTAGGCAACATGACTGCACCTTTTCCATTCCATGCTGCAATCGCATTTACATCTCAAAATTGACTCTAATGACCAACGCAAGGTCAACTAGAAAAATCCACTCAGCTGGTGAGTCAGGCACATTGCTCAATGCCTGAAAGGCCTCTCACAAAGGGCCTTCATTTTCAGGCTATTGCATCACAGTGATGTTATAACTGCACTGCACAAAGATAAGCCTTTAACACAGAAAAGGAAATTGTTTCAACTTTGTCGAGGTGCAAATTTCCCCATCTAGTTTTCAGGCTCTGCAACCTGGGCTGCTAATTCATTTCTCCGAGTTTCCACTTCCTCATCTATGAAACGTGGATGATAACAGAGACCCTCGACACCGCCTGGCACATGCAGAGTAAGTGTTTAGTAAATACTAACTGTTAATCTCTTTTCTGAAGAATGATCAGTATCAAAAGGCCTCGATGCCTATCCGTTCCAGCCTGTTTTCGCTGCTCATGACTCTTACTGAAGCACTGACCTATGTTGCAAGTGCCAAATGAAATTTTCTTCTGTTAGTCAAAAGGGTCAAATATCAACAGTTTCACAGGACTGGCCTTAATTTTCAGGCTACATACTCCCCCTACAAGACAGTTGATCTGTGGGGTCTCACCGTCCACTGCTGATCTCAGACCACAAAATTTTAGATACAGAAATCATCCAGGCTACAGAAGATGAGTCACAGAATGTGTAAGGGAATTGGAAAAAGCTGAACTATTAATATTTGGCACTTCTCACTTCATTCCTACTACTATAATCGAGTCATCTTTCTATTCCTTCAAACAGCTCCCCAAAACATTAACCCAATGATTTGGGAAGTTTGAGTTTCTGCAATCCTGTCAGGAATTCCCCTCAAACTGAAATCAACATTGAACACAATGGCAAAGTTTTCAGAAAAAAAAATTAAATAAATAAAATAAAATAATTAGAACAAAGAAAGTATCTCAAGAAAGATCTTACGGACTTAATTCCAACATTAATCCTTACTTTTACTGCAGAGATTTACGCAGAGAAAAATGAAGGTAAATACTGACACACACACATCAAGATTCTGGTTCCTGGTCAATTATCCAAGAAACATTTATTGAATTCCTCACAACCAACTAGCTCAACAGGTTTTATTCCCTCAGTTTACCCTGGAGAGTGACGGAAATCAGGACAGTGGAAGAAGATAACAAGCTGGGGCCTGGGACCCAGGGTTCTTGTGAGCCTAGGGCCTGCGCTATTAGGATCTGTACCTCACCAAAGCCTATTCTCTAACTACTGAAAGCCTATAACGAGGGAAACTGATGAGGGATGGGGTGTAGGATATGATCCCATAGAAGCCAAGTTTTCGGTCAGTTTTCAACAAAGAGCAGATTGCGTTGACATGCTTCAGGAGAACATCTGTGATGTCTCCATGAATTCACTGTGAATTACTGCATGGGTACAATCTTGGAAGTCTTTATGCCAGGATGAAGGACTGTAGTTTTACAGTAGGACAGCAGCGTCTATTTGGGCGTTCTGGTTTTATTTTGAACTCTGGAGATCGGTGTTCTCTCTACTTTAGCCTTTGACCACATAAATTAAAGGTTAAAAAAAAAAAAATCGGCTCAACTCAACTGGCCAAAGTCAAGCTGAGGCCTTCCTTTTAATCACTATCAACACTGGAGCGCCCCCACCACCAATTTTTGTGGTCGGTGGACCTCTGGAGGTTTTCTTAAGGTCCTTTTCACTTCAAGAACGGAGACACGCTTGGCTCAGAAATACAATGAAGACTCCTGGAACAAAGGTGTCTGCAGGTTTCAGAACCTCACCGCAAAACAGGCGCGGAGTAAAAGCCCCTAGATTTGCCCCATAGGAGGGAGGGCCGCCGAGACGCAGAAGCTCCGGGTCGCCCGGACTGCCCCTTTCCTCTCCGTGCGAGTGCCGTTGTCCCCGGCTCCCTGGATCCCCGGCTCCTGCGGCCCGGGCGAACCCAGAGCGCACCCACATGCCAGCCCCGGCCGGTCCCTAGCGCCCAGGCTCCGCGGGCCGCACCCCCACGCGGCGCCTCTCAGAGACCCACCTCCCTCCGGGTGGGCGGCGCAGCGGGGCCTCGGCGCCGCGAGGACCCCCCGCGCCAGAACAAAGGAATGTGGGGAGGGGGCAGGGAGGAGGAGCGCAGGCCAACGAGCAGCCCCAGTCCAACTACCGCCTAGAGGCGCTTCTCTGTCCCGACCCGAGGTCCCTGCCCGCCACTACCAGACCCGCCCCCAGCCCCGGCTTCCCGCAGACCCCACCGGCCCGCAGGAGGGAGCGGCGCACTGGGGGCCGCACGGACGCGCCACTGGAGGTCGCGATCGGAAGGTGGCGCCACGCGGTCCCTACAGGCCCGGGACTCCCACCCGAGCTCGCAAAGTAGGTCGGGGTCCGAAGATGGGGGCCTAGAGCAACTAGCTGCTTAGAAATCGACTGCAATTACTTGGAGTAAAATACTCTGTTCCAGAGATGTCCACCCACCTCCCCCCCCAAAAAAACCCTGCACTTACTTGAAATGTTTCGTTAGGGGGGGACATCTGTTCATATACATACCATTATACACCTATATTCACACATCACTATGTAACAGTCCAGGAAGAAATTTAATATTTGGGCAAATTACATATTCATACATGTTCGCGTGAGTAAAACTAGGGTATCCAGACAAAAACACAATCTACTAACCTATATCTGTTTCCCATAGGTCATATCTGTTCTGAGGGTAAATAAATACTTCTGACCTCATTTACTGTTGTTATTTACAAAAGCCAAGAACAGAAGATGACACTTGGCTATTCCCTGCTGTTCTCAGGGAACAGCAGTTTCCTAAAGTGTCCTTTAAAAACATAAATGGGAGCCAGCATCCAGCAAATCACCGGGCGCTGCGAAATGCCTTCCTAAAAATACAATCTTATCAAAGGTCTCCGAAGGCGTGGAGTTAAAACTACAGCAAATGGCCTTGAACTTGTATTTGCACACAGCCCTAGAGAAAACACCAGAAATAGCACTGCGAGGCCACAATTGTTAAAATGTGATAGGGCTAAATTTAGAAGAACGCGCGTTTCATTTAGGGCAAAAGACACACATTCGACAGCATGAGCAAACTCCATGCTTACCCGGTTGTCTACTTTCCTGTTCAAAATATCCTTAAGGAAAAAAAAACTGTTATAGTGACATTCTTAAAGGCTGAGACTGTCCTACTTTCTTTGTAGCAAGATTATAAAATCACGTAATTAGCTCCCTCTCTATGCTCACTGCCAGCAAATTCGGCAGTTACATAATGCAACATTTCCAGGAAACTATTATGTGATCTGTCTTGTCGTGTTTGAAAAAACGATGACAATAAGGTGAGAAAAAGGGCTGATAGAATGGAATGCATTCAAATTAGGAAGGTGGGGAGGTAAACGTCACAATGGTTCGTCCTAGATTTAAAAATAACAGCTGAGAACATTGAAAGGGCGAACCCCAGTAGTACCCAAGATCAGAATTCAACCCGAGGAATTCTTGCCTTTAGGTTTTGTAGTATCGCTCTGAAACCTGTTTATTTGGGACGTAATACAGACGTAAATAACGATCTAATATCCAACGCTGCGCCTCAATTACCAAATCATTCCACATACGAGCAGATTCCCACATCAGCCCGCAATCCTTGCCAACATTTCACCGTGGGCAGATTATGCAATGTATGAAAGGACAAATCCCACAACCTTCCCGAGGGCTTGTAAAACACACTGACGACAAACAGGGTGGAAAACGTCTGTGCAGACACAGCCCCTGACACAAACAAACGCCGCGCAGGCATTCTCGGAATGCCGTCACCGTTCACGCTACCAACCCTTTTCCTCACCAAGCAAATCAAGACTATTCCCCATTCCTCAACCCACTTCTCTTCCCCCTCTACGCCGCCGGCCCCAGAGAAGGAAGGAGAAAGGAAAGGCACTAAGAGAGGAAAGAGCATCTTCCCGCTCGGAAAGGGCTTAGCCTCCCTGGCGCTCTTCACCACCAAAACATCAATTTTCCTGAAATCAGGAGACATTATGCAACAGCAGCGGGGGGAGAGCGCAAACCAGCCAGGACTACGTGCCGGCGCGAGGGCGCTGCAATCAAAGCAGCCACCTTAAGGTGGCGAGTCCCATCCTGACAGGGCAGCAAAAGTTTATGTAATGAATGCCCCGCGCGCACTCCCCGCCGCTGGCGAGCGCAGCTTACAGCCCGACCCCGCACACAGCGCTGCCCGCAACCCGCGCCCGCCAGCCCGCCCGCCCGCAGCGCGCCCGGGGAGCGGTCGCCGGGCCCCCGGCCGGCGGTGGGCGGAGCGCTTACCGTGTTCCTGCTCTCGGGCCGGCGAGGAGAAAGAAAGGGGCGGCCGGGAGCCGGGCCGGCAGCGCTCGGGGCTTGGGCCGGGCCGGGCCTCCGAGGCCGCGGCGGGAGGCGGGCGGCGGCGAGGGCGCGGCGCGGGAGGCGGGCGGGCGCGCCTGGTCCGCGGGCGCCGTGGCCGCGCCGAGAGATGTGTGTTAGTAGGTCAGTTCCGAGCGCCGCGCTACGTCGCCGCCCGCCAGCCCCGCGTGACTGGCGGCCCCGGCCCCAATCGCCTAGCCGGCACCCGCCCCCGGACCGCCGCCAATGGCCGCGGCGGCAGGGGCGGGCCGGGGCGGGCTTTCCGTGGCCCCGCCCCTGCGTCCCCGCCCTCCGCTCCCCACCGCGGCGGCGCCACTACCAGCTCGCGTTTCTTCCCGGTCGCGGCCGCTGGTGTCCGAGCGCCCGCGAGGGCCGGCGCCCCAGACCCCGCGTAACGACGATTGCGCAACGGCCCGCGCGGCCCACACGACCGGAGCGAGACTGCAGAGGAGCCCGGGAGCCCCCAGCCTCACTGCCCCTTCCGCTCTTGGCTTCCTTCACCCTCCGGGTCGCCGCGGTGGCTCTGCTCACCCCGCGACCCTCACTCGCTCGCAGAGACGCTTTTTGTCTTCCCGAGAGCCACGGCCGGCCCGGCTACCTGTTGCCGACCGAGCACCGCGGGCTGCGGCTACCCGGGCGTGGCAGGGACCTCGGCCTCCCCTTTCCCGCACACTCCCGAGAGGAGCTCTCTACCTTGGGGTGGGCAGGAGGGAAGGCGGGGGGTGGCGGCTGGCAAGCTGCCAACGCTCGGGGCGCGCTGCGGCGGGGAATGGGTTGGCCCGGCGAGGCAGCTGCGCAGGGCTGCGCGGCGGAGGCAGCGATTAAAGTGCCCCGGCGCCTCTCTCAAGAGCCGCGACGGCCCGGAGCCGGGAGGGAAAGGTCCACGCGCAAACACCGCCCCCTGCACAATTAGGGCGAAGATGACGGCTGCAAAGTTGTTGCGTAACATGCATGGGAAACGAGGCTCGTCTAGGTCCATCTGCCCCCCTCCCCACCACCCTCCCCACCACGCGGGTGCGGCGTTCCTGGGAGGATGTGAAGGTCGGCGCTCGGGTGCGCCGGGCTGGGACGCCCACTGGCGTTGGGTGTTGGGGCTTGAGATGACCGCGCGGGATCTCTTCCTGTGATCTTGAGCTAATAGCTGTTTAGTGGCATTTCTGCCTCTAACTGGATGCGGTCGTCTTCTCTCCAGAAGAAAAAAAAAAAAAAAAGATGTAAAAAAAAAAAAAAAAAAAAATGGGAAAAAGAGCACCTAGCTGCGACTTCTTAAGTCACTGCGCTAGACCGTCGAGGCATGCGGCACACTCCCTGCGTCGATAAATGGATGGTGGGGTAGTGCTGGCCTTGGCGAAGGGAGCCATGTTCCCGACAGTGACTCACAGGCTTGCCCAAATACGGAGTGTGGCAGGTGGGCAGGACCTCCTCCAGCCAGCTCCCTCCTGCGCCGCTTGAACTACGTGGGGGCTGGGACGAGTGCCTCCACGACTTTCCACTTCTTTTTGCCCCTTTCTTTTTACAAATGCAAACACCAAAGTAAAGAGAAGAGCGGAGTGAACGCCCAGGTACCATCCCTAGTGTCCGCCATGAGCAGCAGATCTGCTCGCCAAGTTTGTCTCTACCTTTCCGATTCTCGCACAGTTAATATAAGCACCCGAATCATATTTTTGAAATATTTATCACCTATCTGTTGGGTTTTTGAAAAGCCTCCCAGGGGAGTGTTGTGGTTTTGAACTCACTCTTGTTCGTAACTTATCTGGTAGTACAGCTCTACTGACAAGGCTGTGAAAACTCAGGCAGACGATATTGGCTTAGCTTCTTCCCCGACACCACCTTGCCTGGCTGACAAATGCAAGAACCACATCCTCCCGACTACACCTTTTCCAAACTTGACTACTTTCATGAGAACAAATCCTGATTTTAGTTTATAATTTCCACTTTTCTCATACATATATAATATTTAAGATGAGGGTCTTACTATGTTGTCCAGACTGGCCTGGAACTCCTGGGCTCAAAGGATCATCCTGCCACAGCCTCCCTGGTAGTGGGATTACAGGTGCATGCCACTGCACCTGGACAGTTTTCTCAGATTTACTGATACTTTCCTTTTTTGCCAAAACCTTACAATGCCTATTTATAGCTTTGAAAACCTCCCTTAGATGAAACCAAAATCATATCCATAAATCAGTTGCCTTTTCAGGGTCAGAAATGTAGCTAGTGTCTAGAAATCCAGAACTGCCCTGCATGATCTACCCTCCCCTTCACGTGTTCTCACCTTGTTCTGCATTTTGAATAATTTCATGGAATTTCAAAGCTGTTGTAGAATGGTTAGTAAATGTCTTTCTTTAACGACAACTCCACCTTCTAGATAGGTAAAGAAGGTGCCTGGAGCCACCCCAGACAGTGATGATGGAGGAATTCTCTGAACCTGGCAACTTATTTTTTATGCTGAATTTTGAAATCTGATGCTCCTGTAGTTACTTGGAGTATTTAGATTGTGTGTGTATTACATTTGTGCACCATTCATTGTTACCATCTAACTTGAAAATCAGAGGAAGTGTAAAAGGTATCTGAGATACCAGCTTAGAAAACAACTCTTTAGCTCCTCCTGGTGATTAGGAAACCACTAAACAATAGGATAAAGGATCCGTCCCCAGGGCCCAAGTGATGATGTGTCTAATATTATGTATTAGAACATTCACAGAGTAGATAAGTATTTGCAGATTAACCCGAGTAAATGGAGCATAAAACCTAAGATATCTGAAACAAATTAACCAGTGTATGGAGGCCTCTAGGAAAACATCCGCATGTGCCTGATTGTGAAGCTGGGCTGTGAGGTTCTCAGGAGGAGGAGGAAGGGGTTCTTGCTTTCAGCAACCTCTCAGTGCCGGGGGTGGATTGAGGGCAGGGGGCAAGGGAGGCGGTGGCTGGGACAGGGATGAGAACTACCAGCAGAAGACAGTCAGCCACATTCTTATTCATTTTATTACACTGCCAACATGGTTTCTGACTAAGCAAATATAAGAGCTACAGCTTGAGAACAGAATGACTGAAACAGTGACTTCTCCTTACTGAAATGGGAATTTACTAGTAATTTGTAGTTTAGTAACAATTTAATATAGTAATAATTTTTCTACAGCTGCAGAATGTTTTGAGCTGCAACATCCCTAAGAGGCCGTATATGTTCCAGGGATTTTCCAGTGGACCTCACTGGGCAGGAGTAGCTGTAAAGTCAGATAGGTAATGAGAATTCAGGACGTTAGACACTTGTGGACTGTAGCAAAAAGAAAGTGACTTATTGAAGAATACTGTTTTTCAGCTCTCATCAGTTGCTGTTTCCAGGACCCCACAGCTCCAGTTATTCAAAAGGAAGTTGACTTTTTTTTTTTTTTTTTTTGGTAAAATACCCTGATTTTCAGTTTAGGCAAGCAATTCATTAAAAAATAAAAGACTAAGGTCGGGTGCGGTGGCTCATGCCTGTAATCCCAGCACTTTGGGAGGCCAAGGGGGTGGATCACGAGGTCAGGAATTCAAGACCAGCCGGGCCAAGATGTTGAAACCCCGTCTCTACTAAAAATACAGAAATTAGCTGTGCGTGGTGGCACGCGCCTGTAGTCCCAGCTACTCAGGAGGCTGAGGCAAGATAATCGCTTGAACCTGGGAGGCAGAAGTTGCAGTGAGCCGAGATCGCGCCATTGCACTCCAGCCTGGGTGACAGAGTGAGACTCCATCTCGAAAAAATAAAAAATAAAAGGCTGCAGACTTACCTACCCAGAAGCTGGACAGTCTGAGTCCTCTCACAGAAGAGTTCTACAAAGATATCCCGGGAACAGGAGGTGGAACGGTGGGGACTCTGCGGCAAGACAAAAGCAGCTGATGGTCTGAATACATTTTAGAGCATTTCCAAAAGACCCAGGAAAAGACCAGAAAGGCAGGCTGCCTACCTGGCAATCATATTGGGCGTCTCCAATTTGTGCATTGGGCTTCTGGATTTCTTTGTAGAAAAATTTCAATAACTAAAAGCCCTTTGGTGACCTCCTGTCTGGTCTGGTGGCTGGCAGCCTGCATCAGGGCCCCTGTGTGCTGGGATCATTTTCTTTCCACTGTAGTATGTTTATGGACCATCTTGCATCTTTTAATTAAACTTCAGGAACAGAAGTTCATTTTCTAGGAATCCATAGCTTATAGTTTTTTGTTTTTGTTTTTGTTTTTTTGGGACAGGGGTCTTGCTCTGTTGCCCACACTGTAGTGCAGTGGCGTGATCACAGCTCATTGCAGCCTCGACCCTCTGGCTCAAGCACCCCTCCAACCTCAGCCTCCCAAGTAGCTGGGACTACAGGTACACACTACCATGCCTGGCTAATATTTTAATTTTTTTTTTTAAGAGTCGGTGTCTCTCTGTGTTGCCCAGGCTGGTCCAAACTCCAGGGCGCAAGCAATTCCTTGTGCCGGAATTATAGGCATGAGTCACAGCACCAGGCCTGTTTTGTTTTCAGGTCGAGGTTTGAAAATGTGAGCTAGCATGGCAGCGGTGGTGAGGTTCTCCTCCCCGCGCCCATCACTGTGCGCTTTATGCTGGGATTTTGGCTTTGACGTACTGTTATTGACTGCTGAGGCAGAAACTTCCTGGAATGATACTTCTTTCCTTCACTCATGCACTTTTATTTCTGCTCTTTTTGCCATTTCTATTCTTTAACTTCTGTCTTCCTCTTCCGTTTTGCCTTTTCTTGTAATTTTTATACCTTAGTTGACCTTTATCCTTTTTTCTTTTTTGTATTTCTTTATCTTGATTTACTCTATTCATTCTTAATTTTTTTCTTTGGCCTTCTACAGTCATTCAGATCCTCATTACTCCCTGGGATTCCTTTATTCCACCACATGTCCACTTTTTCTCTTTGCTCTTGCCACCTACCTATCCCAGCCACAACCAAGTCATTGCAGTTTTTAAGATTTCCACGCTCTTTTCCAGCCTCTGCCTCTCAGTCCCCCAGCTTTGCTACGCGGCTCCATTAGCAGGAGTTCCATTAACATGCTTGGCCTTCTTTTTCAAAAACTAGCTTTTGTGGGAAATTGGGCAATAGAATATGGTCAAATAACATTCCGTGTAGAAGTGATGGCTTTAAAGTATGGGAAGCCAAAATGTTTCCTATT